GATGCTCTCCGATGGGCGGCCGGCGGACACCAAAGCAGCACTGAACTTCTTTCAGGAGCCGGGTGTCAGACATGCCCGGCAGTAGTAGTAGTAGTAGTAGTAGTAGTAGTAGTAGTAGTAGTAGTTAGCAGTAGTAGTTAGTCGTAAAGTAGTAGCGATAGTAGTAGTAGAAGTAGAAGCAGAAGTAGAAGTAGAAGTAGAAGTAGTAGTAGTAGTAGTAGTAGTAGTAGTAATAATAATAACAATAGTAGTAGCTGCATCATCATTGTTTTTTATTGTTATTTATCATTGGGTTTTATTAGTAGTAGAAGCAGCAGCAGCAGCAGCAGCAGCAGCAGCAGCAGCAGCAGCAGCAGCAGCAGCAGTAGTAGTAGTAGTAGTAGTAGTAGTAGAAGCAGGAGTAAGCGAAGCCAGAAAGGACTAGCAACAGCAGAAGATATAGTAGTAGCAGTATTTTTCATAGTTCACTTGACAGGCTCCGTATACGTTGAATACATGGGTGTCGGCGGCTCGACACGGAAAGTCTGCAGGCAGGTCTGAGTGCTGCTGAACGTGAAGTCGAATATGCCGGGAAAAATGCATGTTGGAAAACTGCCTACACCTGAAGGGTGGACGTGCTAAAACGAACGTGTGCGGACCCGATCTGTGCTCCTTTGGCCAGCCTCCCAGCCCTGCAAGCCCTACCCCAGGTCTAACTCGAAGAGAACCTGACAACCCGATTTCACGAGACCGAATGCAGGGACGAGACCGCTAACGGCAGTGTCAATCAGGTGGCAGCGAAAGAGAAACAGGCTTGACAGGCACTGCGTGCCAACTCAGCTCTCTGAGGTGAGAAGGACGGCGCATGCGCCACCCTTCTCGTCTCATTCTGATCCTCGCTGCAGTGCTGGTGTGGCACTCATCCAAACGGTCCCTGCACTGTCACGATTACACTTTTGGTTATTGAGCTGTGAGTGCTAGTAGCTGCTTGTTTTTTGTTCTGACAGTGTAGCCGCGGCGCTGACCAACTTTGTAGCGAGCCAGAATGAGGCATTACCACTGGTGGCTCGCGGTGAGTCGACCCCGGTGACACAGCTGGTGCCTCAAGTTGTATCCAGACGGCTCATCTGTGTATGGTTTTTTTCGAAGGATGCTATGTACATATATCAATAATTAATTAGTATGCAGAAGAAGTTTTGGAGTCAGACGCCTGCAGGATGTCGATGTGTGCCTGCCGAGGCCATGGTCTTTGCTGGGTCAAGTGCCTTTTGTTCTTCGCTTCACTCCACAGACTGCAGCTCCGCAGGGCACTCGGGCGCTGGTATCTACGAAAAGCATCCACATCGTTTGTTCCTTCAGGGTGACGGCGCTCCGAGCTCGCTTGGTGCTACAGGCCCGTGCTTGTGTAACAGCTCACTTGCTGAACTTGTCGTTGCTGCAAAGGGCGTCAACGTGAGCCACCTGGAGCTGCTCTCGATAGCAGGCCTTCCCCAGGTCTTGGAAGTTACGGCCTCAAATGCCCAGGTATCTCACTGTCAGTGCAAGCTGGCCCCTTTCAGGTGGCAGCCTCACTTGGCACCCTCACAGCGCTCGGAGCTCAGGCCACGCAAGAGCGTGTGAGACCGAGGCTGCATGTTTGTGAAGAAGATCCCGCCAGCTTGTAGGGCTTGTTGCTACAGAAGACTCGAGCCCTTCGATAAGATTCAATAGGCCTCAGGTGGGAGCTCCTCTTGGGTGCACCTTTGGCCAAAGACGTCGAGGTCACCCTGTTGCTCCGCAGGGCACCCGGCAGTCGCTGTCGCTTATCCAATGCCACGTGACAGTAGCGTAGCTTTGCAGGTCAAGTGCTGATCAGTGTGCCTTCCAGGTTTGCATCTTCCTCCCGATGCTCGGGCCTAAGCTGGACTTCCGTCGGCGCCGGACCATCCGACCAGCAGAAATGATTTTCAACGCATCAAAAAGAGTGAGACCGACTCCTTCCGAGTGGACTGGCTGTCATTCTTGTTAAGGGCAGCCGCGGTTTGATGCTGTGCACTAGCCAGAAAGCTTTCTGGTCCATGGCAGCCTCAAACCAAAGAAATTGATTTGATTCAGAGTGCGTGCGTAGAGTCCAGAAATCCCTGGCCTCAAGAAGCCTCAAAGCTGGCTCTGTGCTGTGCCAAGTTCGATGGGGCGGTGCTGTCCATGCCAGAAGCAGAGATTGCAGTCCAATACGCCCTCGCCACGAGGCCCGCGACGTCTGGCCACTTCTGATTCGTCGACGTAAGAGTGCAGAACGCAACAAGCTCCGAGAATCCTGTTACAAGGAAAGTATGCCGCTCGGCCGGCCAACAAGCAGCAAGTGTAAGACGGAGATGGGAGACCTCACAGCCACTGGAATCTTCAACAACTGCAATCGCTGCTGCCTTCTAGTTGCGATCGTTTGATTGTGTCGACGAAAATGCTTCTGTGACCCTGGCAGCACACACGACGAGGATAATGACGAAGCAAACAAGGACACAGACAAACGAGGACAAAGACGAAGAAGACGACAACACCACGAGAAATGTAGATTTTGTCGCACCGCCATTAAAACAGAGACCTGCAAAAGCGAAACGCGCTTGAACTGCGCCCAGCTTAGCCTCAGACTTGGACGAGTCTTGGGTGTCGAGTTTGAGCGTCGCATAGTAACCACGCGGCACAAACGCGATGCCAAGTACAAAGTACTGCGTACATTATCAACGCGATCACAGGTAGTGGTGGTAGCAGTGAGAGTGGCGTAGGCACAGCAGCGGCAGCAGTCGTAGTAGTAGTAGTAGTCGTCGTCGTCGTCGTAGTAGTAGTAGTAGTAGCAGCAGTAGCAGTAGCAGGCGTAGTAGTCGTAGCAGCAGCAGGAGTAGCAGCAGTAGTAGTAGCAGTAGCAGTAGCAGTAGTAATTAGTAGTAATAGTAATAGTGGTCGTCGTCGTCGTCGTCGTCGTCGTCGTCGTGGAGTAGTAGCACCAGCAATAGCCGTGGCAGCAGCAGGAGTAGGAGTAGGAGTAGGAGTAGGAGTAGGAGTAGGAGTAGGAGTAGGAGTAGGAGTAGGAGTAGTGGTAGTGGTGGTAGTAGTAGTGGCAGCAGAGTAGCAGTAGTAGCAGCAGCAGCAGAAGCACCAGTAGCAGCATGTGTTAGGTAGCAGGCAGGAGAGGTAGGTCGGTCGGTCGGTAGGTGGGTATGACGATTGAACCTTCTTGAGAGTCAGACCTGCGGGTCCTCGCCGAGCTGATACAGGCACAATGCTGAATGAGGGGGAACAGTAATGGACAAGTCTTGACATGTAAAGGCTCATAGGGATAGAAGCCATACAAATACAAAAAAAATAAGAAAGGCCATCCAGACCAAACAAAAGGCATATTGTGAAGATCGCTAAATAAAGACAGGAAAAACACCGCCAACGAAATATCTTCAGAGAGGTCAGATAGATGAAAGAAAATACAAACAAACAAACAAACAAACAAGCAAACAAACAGTTAGGGAGGGAGGCCGGGAGGGACGGATTCAGTGGCAGAAGATCTCCAGTGGGTAGACTTCGTCGGAGTGGATGCAAAGAGTGCAACCGGCGACAACCTGCGCCTTGCAGGCCCGAGGCCTTCTACACGCAAGAAACGAGACTCGTCTGCAACTCTGGCGGATGCCAACAGTCTCTTTCAGGGCCCGGCGCAGCATGCAGTGATTGTCACATCAACTTCCGGACAGAATCCTCAAGCAGCAATAGCAGCGGGCGTCCGGACACGAAATAAGCGAATCAGAGCTCCACGCTTCCTTTACGACTGCTGTACAATTGTTCATGGTTGCATTCTTCAACATCGCATGCCTGTTGAGCTTAAAGAGCTAAGTTGCGTGCATATGGGAGAACTCTCAGCCCTTGCTGTAGAACTAGGAGACGACGACGGTGTGACCCATCCTGATTGTCACGCGGTCAGGATTGCTGTCCCCTTCAACGCCTCGACCTGCCACGCTCTAGGCGCAGGTTCTGAGCTTGGCTGCAGTACACATAGTTGGAAACTCCGATCCGCTTCGCTCAGCGAGGTCGTGCTTTGCAGGTGCGAGCCTCGGCACATCTGAGGGTGCTGCGCGGGACCTTGTCGGCTGCATCCTTGATCACAGATCACAGCTAATGTGTCCAGGCCTCACTCCTTTCTGCCACAACGGTCCAGATGCAGTTCAGGTTCCGGGTTCAAAAGGGGCTGTTTACTTCATGCGTGTCAAACAAGCATGTCCCTCCGTGGCGCTGTTATGAACTGCTCGCTGCCTCGCTTGCATCCTTGCTGCTGACAGGCTGGACATGCCGAAGGCTCAGGGTGGCGTCGTGTGGGCTCGAGCACTCATGCCGAGCAGCAGACTTGCTGCCGAGTCTGGCAGACAGGTCCGCTGCCGCAGGGGATGTCCTGCTCATGCTGCCACTCCACGCTGTTGCCCAAGATGCAGAGTGGCGATAGAGCACTACAGCAGCACTTCCGAGAGAGTACGATTGCTGGCTAGATGGACTGGAAACTTCTAGGTACAGTATGTAACACAGATAAAGCGTACTGGATGCTTACGGCTGGATGGCCCAGCATTAGCGATTGTGATGCATACATCTCGGCAGGGGAGCACATTCAGGAACACGGGGTGGCCTGCCTGACGCAGAGCATACATTCCATACTGCCATACTGCTGTGTGAAGGCTTTAGAGTCAGCCTCTGCTCCTAGCAGATAAGGCGATCCACTACGACTTCCAACTCCCCGATGGAAGTCAGTGCCCAGAACTCGCTGTGGACTGTGGCCGAATGACACTTAGCCGGTCGTTTGTGTGTATTAGCATGATGCTGCACCTTCGTCCGCGTCCGAGAGGACTTCGCAATTCCTGGTGGCGGAAATGCTTCCTGGGACGTTGCTTGCCGCTTCCGGCGGCTGGGCCTCCATGGCTGGAGACTCTTTCCACTGATTTCGATAGCCGGGCTCACCAAGGGCTACCCTGCTGACAGCTTTCCCCAGGCCATGGGAGCAATGCTTTGGAATTCACAATGGCCTGGGCCTTTGGGTCTTGTGCCTGCAGGGTCGCAGTCTGGACCTCGTTGCATCGGGCACCCCACGGATTGCCAGGGATCATCTTTTGCGAGCCTGGCTGTGACGCTGTCGCTGTGTGCGACTTGGGACATGCCCCTGAAAATTTCCGGTGAGAGAGGGGCCTCTATTGATTTGCATGGCTGTGTGGTCTTGCCGAACATGGCTAGCCTTGCAGATCTCTTGAGGAAGGATTGTGAGGTGGGGTTCGGATTTGCTTTCACCCTAGGTCGCTGCCCTCACCTGTAGCTGCCACTGCTGGGGCATGGCTGGCCATGCTCACAGATGGGCCAGCAACTTACCACGAACTGGGCAAAGCGATGGGAAAGTCGAGTAGAAGGACTCTTGGTCATGTGCAATCCACAATGCCACCCGCTTGCTTGTCGTTGCTAGGCTGGCCGAATGCGACGTCGTGCTCGTGGATGCCCCGCCCTGTTCTAAGAAGCGAGATCCATGCTCTGGGTCTCGAGATGTGGAGTCGTCCTGCGCAAGAGGCCCAGCCTGATAGCCCCACAGGGCTACTTGGTCACTACTAGCAGCAGCATCTTCATGGCTGCTGCGGCTCTGGCGAGGGCCTCGCTTCTTGTGTTAGCTGAAGCAACTCCAAGAGTGTCTGAGTCTACTAGAGGAGTGACAACGAGAGAATGTCTGCAGAGAGTGGTGTGGGTCAGCGGCCCAGGACGTCACCTTGATGCTGATGGGCGACTTGCCCCCTGGCCGCGGCCTTCGTGCATCAACCCGGCAAAGTCCGTGGGTGCAGAGCTGGTGGTTCAGGTGGAGAGGTCGTCCTGAAGCTTGTGGACTCAGCGCCTGCCACGCTTCTGGCATGTGACGAGCGCACAGAGGCGCCAGAAGCTACTCACGAGTTTATCATGTTCCGCAGCCCTTTGATGACAGGCCTTCATACCTACTCGTCTCCTCTCCTCGCTGAGCGTATCCGCCTCGACCTTGGACAGCCACTGCAAGAAGGGCAACAGTAACAAGAGGACTATGAATGCATACAGGAGTACCGGAAACAGATCCATGCATCAGCTTACTCTGACACAAGATGTCCCGAAATTTCACGAGCTGAGAGGCTTCGTCTGACTTGTGTCACGTGCGAATGATTACCCGTTGGGTCAGATCCTGAGTGCGTCACATCGTTGTTTCACATCTCTGCATTCAGGCAGTTTGTCCATTCACTGCTTGGTCAGTGCTTTACTAAACATCTAAGACCCGCAGTAGTTGTCGTGTTGTTGGAGGCTGGGTCCGGCTCAGAGCTCAAGATACGCCTGTCAGTGATGCACGGTGAGGCAAGCATGTGAGCGCGGGCAGAATGGATGCATGTTTTGCATTCTCGATTTCCAGACTCTTCCTTGCCTGCGTTGATTCGCTTCGCAGAACGCGACGGCTGTTGCTGTGGAATCACGGACTGAGCTCTCTGGGGAGGCGAGGCAGCTGAATCAGGGGAAATCGGCGTTGTCTGAGCATAGAAGACGTCAGATTGCAGGGGGGAGAATGCGCACAGAATGCTGCAGCTGCGCATCTTTGTGAGTGGTGGCCGCCGGTCAGCTTACAGCTTCGTTAAGTTGCCCCGCTGCATGAAGCCATGAAGCTGTTGCATGGTGAAGGTGTCGAACTACACAACTCTGCAGGGCCAGCTGGAGCCTCAGTAGGTTAGACGTCAAGTTTCAGCGAGGTGCAAGATGCCATGCTAAGTTGGAAGTCTTGAGGAACTGGCGCCACAAAGCGGGTATAATTTGTATACACTTAAACGCAAGGCAGATACTTTTGCAGTTTCCGATGTGCGTTGATTGTGTTTTGATTTGCGGCTTTGTTCGACAAGTGCGAAGACTCAATGTCTAAAATGCTTGCGATGCAGGCTGTGTTGTGTATATACTCACTGCACTGTCCTGGCTGGGATTAGATGATCGCAGAAGTCTGAAGCAAGCGCAGTGACGAACTCGAAGTTTCTACATTGCGGTGTGACGTTGCATGCTGGTTGCACAGCGGCTCTGAGCTTGCCAAGGTACTATTTGACTGAAGCGCAGGAACTTCAGCAGGCAAGGCTTTATCCCACAGGATTGGCAGAGCTGCGCCAGGCGCTCAGTCCCAACGACTACTGCACAGCAGCATACAAGCACAGACGTATATCTCTCTATATTGTTATAACATACACAGTTTGTTGGTTTATTTACATAGTTTCGCGATGTAGTCATGAGTACTGTGTTGTGGGTCGAGCTGGGCAGTACGGGCAGCAGTCCTTGTCCCTTGTGAAAAACCATATACAAAGATACTGGATGACGCTGTCATCCTCGGAACGAGGTAATTGGCTTCTCGCTTCATGCATCTTGCGAGCGATAGCAGCCAGCTCGCAGCTTCCTCTCAAAAGAGGTCCAAGCACGTTCCTCATTACGTTCCAGACGGCTGTGGAGTCACTGTTTTACGCGCCCGGTGCTGAAAAGGAAGAGGGTGATGAGGTGTCTATAGACTTAGATCCGTGTGTGGCCGCTAAATGAGGCCGAGCCAGCCTGGCACCGCAGTGCTCACTGCACGGCCTCCACCTGTCTGCTCTCAAGGACAGCGTCCAGCCATAAGTACGTACAGAATTAGTCTGTCCGACTATGCGGCTTCACGGCACATCTGGCGAGAGGCTGCGCAGCATGGGAGCAAAGGATGCCCGAGCCCACCTCAGTCTCAGAATGGCGACCAACTTGTAGCTGTACTATAGCAGACTAGCAGCTGACTAGCATGTCAGCCCTGTTGATTATGCTGTGTCAGCGTGGTTGTGCTCCAAAAAAACATTTAGTATACTTTGACATTGCGTGGACGCCGAGTTAGTATTCTGATGAATCAGGGCAGCGCTGCCGGGTTGGGTCGTGCTTGCAGCCAGCCGGCAATCTTGCCAAGAGCAGGGGCCACAGGGGGCGGTCGACTTAAATCTGCAGCCGCCAGTACAAAAGCTCGCAATTCCAATGCAACCCCGACACATGACGTAGCCTGCCACTAGGCCTTTGTGGACTCAGGCGGCACCTTGGTGCTACTGCGAGAATGGGCAGGGAGCCGACTGGGACTTCTGTTTACCGGAGGCACCGCTTGGAGTGTCCATGAACTGGCATGTGCATTGAGACTTCAATGAGAGGGGTATCAAATGTGTGTGAGAGACCGGTCAGGTTGTTCGACTGCGGATGCAACTTTTGGATGCCGCACTCTTACCCGATTTTGCTTGATCTGGTGTTACAGCCATTTGCAAGATTGAGTGCTGCTGCTGTGGCCCTCGGGGCCCTCGCGAGTTTGTTGGTGATTTCGTCAATTGCAATTGCCTGCGAAAGACACCGCGTCGAGGCATCTCGCTTTTGGTTACGCCGTGCCAGTGATGGCGCAAAGTTGCAGGCGGTTTGGTCCTTGGTGATGAGGATGTGGTGGTCACGGTCTGCTGAGTTTGACTCTTCTCAGATCGCTTGGGCTCAGGTCCCGGAGATGCTCGCGGTTGACTGTCCTGGCCCAAGTCGTGTCAGCTACACCCGATAGATTCCGAAGGATTCCGATAGATCCGTTAGATGCGACAGAGTGTGCTGCAACAAGCAAACCGAAACCTGCAAGACAAGTTGGGCGACAAACAGCTGAGGCGCAGAATACCTGCTCAACTTTGCAGCTTCAGGACCTCGGCAGCTTGGAGCATTGGAGCTCAGTATCACATCAGCCCGCATGGCAGCGATCCAGAACTCGTGAAGTGCTGGGCTGAAGACGACCGGTTTCAAAGTGATGAACATGCAACAGGCTAGCATAACATCGCTTCTGTCACTTCATTGCCAGGAGGGTCCTTGCCTGCTCCTCGCCGTTGCTGGGGAGATGCAATGCGAACTACCGGTGACGAGGTCAGCTCAGTATTGTGCCAGATGTGAGACCTTTTGAAGCTTCTGGTCGGGAGTAGTATTTGCAGGTGTCAAACTGCTTTTGCACAGGGCAAGGAATGAAGTAAGTATCGTTCCAGGATTGGCGTCGTGGAGTTACCAGTTGCATTTTCGCGGTCATGTCCTGCTGCTGTCGCTACTGCAGGTCTTCGTGGATTTTTTTCCTGGCCGTGGATTGGTGGCGGGCACTTCCTACAGCTCGGACCACAGAGGATTTAGCAGGCTGTGCATTCACAGATAAATGCCCGTTACCACACAACAACGTTAGTCCATTCACACTTCATGCGCCCAAATCCAAGGTCTGGAAGTCACTGGCGAGTTCAGGATCGGCGCGTGTTCGTGTCAGTATACACGGGTCAGTATGCACGGGTGAACGGCCTGCATAAGCTGGATGTGTTGATATTTGGGCACTGACGGACTGAGTCGCACTTTTCAGTGACACCACATTGGCACGTGCTGTTTGAGCAGATTGGGATGGCAGTCGGTCTTCTTCAAAGCGGCTTCATGCCCGCCTTTCTGCTCGTGTGGATGAGCGACGGCTAGGAGTTACGTGAGCATCAGCAACGAGGCATGGAGTTGCTCAGAAATTTGCACTTCTCCTCGCGACTGACAACTTGATTTCCAGCTGTTACTGTACACCGTGCACATCATCGGACCCACAAACCTCGAACTTCCTCATCAGGCTGCCGAGTTCGGGAATGTTAGCCTTGCAACACACAACACGGCCTGCCTCGGCTGTGGGACTCGTGCGACTGAGCCTATCTATTCGGCCTTTCCCAGTTCATGTCTTATCGGGCCGCTAGCACGTTGCATAGAGCCCGACTGCAAAGAAGAAGCAGCAGCGATTCAGCGCCTCGTTCTGGTATGCAGCCTGTATGCATCATGGGGACGCTGGCTCACTACAATAAGAGGGCACCTAGTCACGAAGCAGTGTAGCCGGCGAGATGAGTCCGGAGCCGGATGTCAAGTGACGACAACGAAGGATTCAATCTGTTCCACATACTTCAGCGGAATCCTGCAGGAAGTCTCGCTAAAGCGACGATGCATCATCATGCGTGGCACAACTGCGATTAACGTGCTGGAGCAGGCTTGGCGGTGTGATGTGGCAAGCTGCGCAGGTCCTGGAACTCTCCGTTTGGAGCACATCTGCGGCCCCTGCCCTAGACTAGACATGTACAAGGTTAATGACAGCTCCGCAAGCAAACTGCAAGAATAGAACTCGGCTGCAGCGAGTGCTGGGCGCATAGTCGAGGGCATCACACGCTCGTGCTTTGCTGTGTGTTGTGCATCTTGAAGGACGGGCCGTTCATCGGCAGAGAGTTTGCCAAGCTGCGACCTTCGGTTCCTGTCTGAGCTATGGAGGGTGTCACGACAGCTACTTGTAGAGAATCGTTCTGTCGTAATGACTGCTGAACTGAAACACATGAGGCTTCATCGATTCCAAAATCTGGCACGTCTATCTTTGCCCAGCAGCCAACTGTCAACAGCGTCTGGGCCTTTGACTTTGCAGCAACATCCAGTTTTGGAAGCATCTCGGCACTGGACAGCCCCGCTACCGGAACAGGGACGTTGTGCGCTGAGACACGAACTTGCAGTCGTCGCTTGCGCAATAGTTCCTCGACCCAAGGTCGCCGCGCAGTTGCTGGATGTAAACACCACAGGACACAGACTTGGACATGTTTCGGCACTTTTGTGTATCAGCTGAGCAGTACAGAAGGCGGTATAGGCTCCAGATGAGGTGGCCCCATGAGTTGAGAATGGTGTGCATTCAGTGAGTCCGAGGAAACGTTTCAGTGACGGACTCAGCTACAGCAGACAGTATTCGGAAACGGAGTGTGCGTAAGGCAGCAAGCATGGCACAATTATATTCTGCGCCTGGGGTGCAATCGCAGATCGCAAGTTGTGCATTTTTCTGGCATGTGCTGTGCACATCATGTGTACACTCCGGCTCACATGAAACTGCTGTGCTGCTTCATGCAGAGGTTTCCGATATGCAGACCCCTGATCCCGAGAAACCAAGGATGTCAAGGATAGGATTCGTATATATAAACCGATAAACCTGTATCAACGGATGAAGGGCTATTCATTATTCATGTAGGCTTCCGAACTGCATGCTTTAGTCATCCATCCTCCGGTGGGTCTTTCCAGCTCCAGCCCTGGAGTAGCCAGAACATACCTGTAGGAACGTAGACAGAAAGCAGGTGGAAGTGGAATCTCGGAAGACCTGCCCACCACCACTGCAGCTTGAGCTTGGCTCGGTTCCACCTGTTGCCTCAAATCATAGGCAGGGCCAAGCCGGGCGAAGCATATCTGGCAGAACCTGGGCAATGGCGCAACTCCAAGCTGCTACTGCGTGTGACTAAGAAGCCCAGGAGAGCAACGGGGAAGGCGTTACCCCAGGCAGCCATAGTCAATCAATTTCAGTAGGTTGTGGTAGCCGCCGCATCTGCCGGGTGGACATTCGCAGAAATTTGTTTCTGGCATGTGTTTGGGCCTCGGAGGAATGGCCGATTTGAGTCAATTTGTCGAGATCTCGGACAGGATCCCCAAGGCCGTCGCAGTTTTGAACTGGGACCAGATTTGAGGGTTTTCGGGCCTACCTGTCAGCCGCGACTTGTTCTGCTGGGAGCTTGCAGGCATTTCGCTCGCCAGCAGCGCCACTTGCACCAAGCCGGCCTGCTCGGCCTCGATGGACGCGACCACCTCCCAAGGCCGTGTGCCAAGACTTGAGCGAATGAGGTGGAAGCTGTTGAAGGTTCTTGATTCTTATTTCATGACATGACGATGCAGGTGGTGCCACCACCGAAAAGAGCTTCTGCCCCTGCAGAATCCAGGCAGTGGAAGATCTGAAGCCGCCAGCACATGGCAACTGTTTCCTGCTCCTCTGGGTGTGGTCAAGGCAGCAAGCAGCAAGCACTGGCCTCCGTCTCGGGCCTCAGTGGGTTCCCCCAGAGCTGCTGGAGCGCGGGATGGTGGTCCTGCAGCTTGGTATGCTTCAATATTCGAGAGCTGTTGCTGTAGCCGATCTGTTCCTTGTGGTTTATGCTCAGTGTTTCGGCTAGTTGAGACAAAATATGCTGTGGCCGTGGCCGGCAACAGACAGAGCTATCAGAGCTGTGTTTGTTATGTGTCGGCTCCAAAGTGCTTATTGCAGTATGGTAAGGTGTCAAGATGGAGTGCTTGGCGTCATCGAAAGCGTGTTTGCAGCTTTGGACGAAGTCTACGTTCAAAGACATGGCTCGACAGAGCCAGTGAAGTTGAACACCAAGCAGATCACCTTCTTGGGCGAATGGTCAGATTCAGCAGCATGCCAGCAGGTCATCAGCTAGGCGTTCAGGCCTGGTACAGCTTCGGGGATGACTGCTAATGTCAAAGCGTCGCTAAATCCAAGTTGGAGCCATGAAGCGTTGGATTCCACAATAATAGCAACAGGACGGAGAGAGACGGAGGCAGAGCATGTGATTGCGGGAGTGGCTCCGTGCGGCTGCGTAAGCGAGTGAACCCGGATGAGATGGTTGCAGATAGACCAGCCCTTGCGAGTCTTGGGAGGCTTCTACTGTTGGGTTGAAGTTTCTAGGATTATGTTGCCCTCCCTTCCGATTCGCGCGCACACGCTGAGATGCAAACGTCCACGCATGCTGCAAGCAAAGACAGACATGTACATGAGTTTAGAAAATGTGTATGTGCAATAACGATGGTGTAGTATGTGTATATATATATATATATATACACACAGAGTTTTGCACACTCGCGGTCCTTTGGGATGCAATCGCCCTGGTAGGATGCAGACTTGCTTTTCGCATGAGCTGTCAACTGAGTTCTCAGGTCGAGATCATTAATTCCGTGGACGTGCCTCCGGATGTCGAAGCGATTCTCGGGTTGGAGCAGCTGGATCAACTGCAAGAGTTGGCAGGGAAAGCCCCGGTTCACCTGGAATCACTCCCCCAGGAGCCGGGCTCAGACACGAAACCAATCCCTGCTTCTATGAGCTCAGCAGATATGCAGGAGGGAGCACGCGGAGCTTTAGCCCAACTGGTTATCGGCCCGAGCACAGCAAAAGCGGTGAAGGCGGCAGTCGATGCAATCGTCAGCCATGTCGACTCTTGGTGACATCTAGGGTTGCCGAATCTTTTATACGTCGGCCATTGTGCAAACAAAGCGCGGATGTGCTATTGCGATCATCGCAATGCTTTCATATCTTTCATCGAATCTATGAGTCAGTATGTCACTACAGTGGAAGCTTCGGCCTCAGAACGGGTTCAAAAAAGGAGTCACAGCAAGGCTAGCAAGCTTGTTCCAGTGTGATTATCGCAGACCAAACGAATGTTCACTTCGTTTTGGTAACCCGCCCCCCCTCGATTGATTTCAGGCGCAGGCTGGGGGGATAGATTATTGAGGGGGTCGGTCGTCGTAGTACTGTTGTACAGTATTACAGTAGTATAGTAGTACAGCAGTACAGAAGTACAGCAGTACAGAAGTACAATAGTACAGTAGTACAGAAGTACAGTAATACAATAATACAATAGTACAATAGTACAGTAGTACAATAAGTTCCAAAGCTTGCTGCCCTTTTCAATCCAAAGCTTTGCCAATGAAGGGCTTGGATTATATAGCATGCTTTCCTTTTCCTGGCTTTTGCAGGCACCACCAGAATGCCCACCCCAGGAGGAGTTTATAATTGAGAAGAGCGGCTTTTGTTAGTTCTGCGGTTTCGGAGTCCCGTAGTAATTGCAGTTTCTCTCCCTCTGCAAATCGTAGCGGCCGTAGTAATTGCAGTTTCCCTCTCCCTGTCTCTGCAATATTGGAGCGGTCGCAGTAATTGCCGTTTCTCTTTCTGCAAGACTGGAGCGGCCGTAGCAATTGCAATTTTTCTTTCTCTGCAAGACTGGAGCGGCCGCAGTAATTGCAGTTTCACTCGCTCTGCAACACTGGAGCGGTCGTAGTACTTGCAGTTTCTCTCTCCCTCTCTCTGCAATACTGGAGCGGTCGTAGTAATTGCAGTTTCTCTCTCTCTCTCTCTGCAATACTGGAGCGGATTCCCAGAAGGCTACGCAAACCAACATCAAGAAACTCTCAAAATAAAAAGATATGGGCGTCGGGTTTCATAATTGAGGGGGTTTATGTTTGAGTTCCGGGGGTCTGGTTCTATAATTGAATTGAAGGGGCGTTTATAAAATCGAAGTCAACATTAAGAACCGATCCGCATTCGATCCGCAACTGATAACTCCTGCCGGGGCCGCAGTGGACTCTTGGGAATTGCCTGCGGAACGGACAAGATCAGCGACTGAGAAGGTTGAGAATGTCGACATACGAACACTGAAGAACAAACACACACCGCAGATGAATCGTGCTTCTGGCTCGAGTAGACAGTTGCCAGTACTTGAACCTTGCATTTTGTCATAGGATGACATACCAAAAAACTCATCGTGCGTTCAGTCACAGCTTTTGATTTACTTCTCCATCCAGGATGGGCTGGACTACCCGGAAGACAGCTATGCAAAGGCTGCCAGTGGCAGCGCAGCAGCTGGAGCTACAGGTTGTCAGGCAGCCTGCTGTAAACCTCTCGTTGCCGATGCACCTTTGGCATCTCGCAAAAACGATGTTTTGAACATGTTCGAATTTCTTTCCAACCTGATCTCTTTGACACCTACAGGCCGCCCCTAGTGACCAGTGGCCGGCAGCTGCAGATTCTGCATCGGCGCTGTATCCAGCTGGATCGTCACCTGTGATGATGGTTTGTCCGGCGGCTTTGGCACATAGAGAGCCAGAAAGTTGGTACTTATGCACATCAGGTTTTGGATGAGTCAGGTAGACTAAGTAGGCTTGCAACAACTGGCGAGTTGTCTTGCAGGTTTGGCCTGGTTCCAATCCAGCTTGGCCAGACTGGTCTGCAAGCCCTGCCTGGGGGTCGGCTATGTCAACTGTGGCCGCAGCGCCAGCGGGCTCAATCCAGAATAATCTGGGGTCCTGGCAGGAGGAAGCTCAGACAGTCGAGGCCCGTTTCCGTACGGTATAATCACCAGATTTCAGGCACCGGAGCGGCTCCTTCTACAGGCTGTTGCCGCTGCAGGTGTCTCTTGACACGGACCAGACTCTCGTGCAAGAGATACCACTGCTTTCGCAGATTTCTGCGGATCCTGTGAAAGAGGACAGCGGCAAGTGTTGCCGGTATTGTACATCGGTCGATTGCCTTGCCTCCGCTAGGTTCGCCAGAACGCTGCCCCTCCGTGGCGCAACAAGGCCTAAACTAGGGCCAGATGTTTTCATAGTAGAGCAGGCGTGTCTGGCCGGTATGCCTTCCTGGGACAGGAGCTCCCGCCGCCTCCAGAGAAGAATCAGGTCGTGGAAAAGAAGGCCGATGTCCACCGCGGAACCACGGCCAGAATCTCAGCCTCAGATTTCGGTGCTGCATTTTGCTCGATTCGAAGCTTGACCTTGCCACAGGTGAAGCGATATCGGCCATCCAGCCTTTCGGGGAAGAGACGCCGCGAGGCCATGAATGTGAAGCAGGAGGCCTCGAGTGCGAAAATCACACACGGTGACCCGGAAATAAGCCTTGCGCCATGAGATGCCATGAGGTGGAGGAGGAGCAGGGCCACCCCGTGAAGGCCGCAAAGGTGGATGAGGGAGCCCAGGGTGGAAATGCTGCCGCTGCCTTAGAGCCGGGCTTGGGCCTTCGGTCGTCGTCTAAGTGTCTGAGAAGTTGCAAGGCACCATCGAGCCCAAACTCCGCTGATGAGACCAATAAGACGGTACTGTTTTGGGCAACCCAGCAGGACTGAACTTCCAGGGTCAAGCCCTACCCGTGCAAGCAAGCGCAAACAAGCTGCTACCAGTTTGTTGTACATCATCTTATCTCGTATTTACGTAATATGATGATATGATGTGTTTGTCGTTACACTACTTTGAGCTGGCAGGACCAGTTTTCTCACCTACCTCAACTGCCAGATGGCTGGATCAGGATCCCGTCAAAATCAGCTGGGGCATGCTACTATGTGTGCCTAGGCTGCACTCTCCTTCCGTGTGCCTCCTCGGCGGCTTCGATCAGACCACTAAATTATCTGCCCGGCGGCGTTTGCTGCTCAAGCCCCGATTCGTGTCTCCATTCCTGTCGGTGCATTTCTTGACTCACAGTCATCGCCAGCGCTCTCAGGAACTTGGTAACTGGCACATCAACCTTTAGATCGCCCCTGGATTTGCCTCCTGGTTGGGTGAAGGCTGGCCCGATGAGGGAGTCGATGTGACTTGGATTGCCGTGGCGGCTTTGTCATAACTATGCCGTGATTAGCCTGCTGATGCCGTTGCGCAATGGACCCTGCAGATTTCGCAGAAGCGCACGGATGGCCCTGCAGATCCCTGAAGGTCATGTCCAGGAGCACAGGCAGGCACTACTACTGGCACGCAGAGAAGCAGATCTCGCAGTTTGAGTTGCCTGCAGACTAGTGACGAGTGGAGAATATCTCCATCTTGGTTTCAGGCGACATGAACACGAAATCGTAACCCTAGCACACGAGGTTGTGTTTGCTTTTGTTATCCATAGTGTTGACTGGCTTGTCTGGACTCATGTCGTCGAAGCCCATGCACACTGTAGCACTACCGGAGGGACGGATCAAATCATTCGACAACGTTCATGCTGCAGCGTAGGAGCATGGGAGGGTGGCAAAGCGGCCACCGGCCATTGTATACTTCTGTATACGAGCATGAACGAAATGGCCAGGTCAGAAGGTCATGCTAATCGAATGTTCCGGGATATGGGTGGCTTTAGGTGGGTCGGACGGCGCCCATGTGCTTGAGGAGTGGAGGTCTACAGTAGCTTGCCTTGGAAGGGCAGGCTCTGGGCAACGTCAAGATTTTAGTCTGGAGAACCCTGTGAGGCGTTGCCAAATCACAGAACTCAGCCAACATGCCAGAGCGGCCAAAAGAGGATGCTGCGTGACATCTGGAAATGCCGCATGCGAGTGGAACTCTCGATGCTGTCGTGCCATTATGTGTCTGGCGCTGGATGGATCAAATTCAGCGCGTTAGTTCAGCGCTGTTGGGGGTTCAAGTCTCGGGCTTTCAGGTGTCACGGGGTAGAAGACATGTTGACCCAAGTATTAGCTTAAGTTGCACATGACATGGTTTCTCTTGCGTGAACTTGCATGCTTCCATATACTTCGTATGTAGCCCAGAGGCAACACCAGGTTTTTTTTTTCGGATTCTAGGTCTGTGCCACGCCCATGGCTGGTGTCCCGCACCTTCCGGAGAATCTCGGCTTGGTGGCTGCAGGGTTGCCGGATCTAGAGCTAGGTTGGATTCCCTCGTGTAGGCTCAGGTTGCTGGAGTGAAGGCTGCTGACCCACGAGGGTTTTCTACATGGAGGCTTGAAGTAATACAGCGAGGAAGTTCTACCACCATGAAATCGGAAGCTAAGCTGCAAAGAATGCCAGCTCATTGCTGAGGAGGGCCCACTTCGGCAAGGCAGGCCATTTCTGATTCGCGGGTCGCGTGTGGCCTTGGAATGCGGAGGCTCCTGCAGAACCGGAGGATCAGCCACTCTTCGTCATTCATGGAGTCGATACCGGTCCAGGCTCTACGTGTAACTTGCGACTCAGTGCGGCCAAACTAGAGCTCCATGGAGTGTTGTTCTTCTCCTTTGCAGGCTCCACGCAGGCTGCGGCGGTGTCATCAGGGAGTGTGGGAAAGTCGAGTTGAATGGGGCAGGGCATTGCTGGCATTCCAGGGTTGCAGCTCACTTGTCTGGTTTGCATAGTAGTCTGCGTGGTCCTTTCGTCCCTAGGCCCCATATGTGGTCTGAATTGCGGAGCGAGTGTAACCTGCTTTTTTCGACTGACGAGACGAAACTTTTCCTTTTCCGTTGTGGAACTTATGCGCGCAAATGGGAGTCAATGAATTTTAGATAATGACGCCCATCGCACAGGGGGCACGAGGACAGCACCCAAACGGGCATGAGAAGCGATACCCGAAAGCACAGCAGACTGTGGCATCAGCCGTTGGCACGCCAACCTTTCAGTGCGCCGCAGTAAGGACCGTTGCCTGCGACACTGCCGGCCGCCAGTAGCAGACTTAGGGCACCAGCGGGCGACATGCACTTGCTGCGCCATGCTTGCACCACTCAGCAGTGGAACTAGTTTTTCAATTTTCCAGTCCCACTTCCAAGCAGAGCGAAACGAGCAGTATGCCAGGCGAAACCTTGACGTAAGCAGAACAATCAAACTCATTGACGGATTCCAGTCGAATAGATATAGCAGGCGAAGAAGGCATCTCAAGAAAGGCCAGCTTGAACAGCCGCTCAGTGCCTGATATGGTGCAGTTGGCTTCGGAGGTCAGCCCGGAGTGCTGAATAGAAAACCCGAGCGCGATCCACACAACTGGAAATGGCGCCACTGCCTAGAAAGCTTCGGGTGATGCTTGCTGCGCTTTGCAAAACTCCAGGCTGCTGCCGAAGACCTGCACGTGCCCACGCACGCAGAGCACAGCTGCTTGGACTATAAGTTGCAGTCTGCAAGGGGGGCCGGCGGGCTCCCTACAGCACTTCAGGGAGGCATGATCACTACAGTTACAAAAAGCATCTAACGGCCCGGCACGGCAAGCAGATATCCATTCCGACTTTGCAGTAGCCCGAGGTCCTCCAGTGTCCCCATCGAACCGTGTACTTGCACGGGGGCGGACGCGCAGGCTATCCCAGCAGGAGAGAGTTGAGAAGAATTGGGGACGTGGTGGCGTCGGGGTGTGTCACACCATGTCGCTTCCCCGGCGGACGTCAAAACCATCTTGCTTGGAGCGCAGCTCCCCCATCCGTGCGGGCAGGACATATTGCATGACCTTGACCCAGACCTGCAGATCAGCGCGAGCACTTCGTTCTCTTTAGGCTGCCCGCAGTGTTCAGGGATGCCTGCACCGTGTGCGTGGACGAATTGTGTCAGTGCCTGCACTTTGCGATCGCAACGCAAGAGCATCTGGTCCATGAGACAGAATTCCAAGCCGAGTGCCGTCGCTAGGAAATCCGCGAGCAAGAAATGCTGGCAAAGGCCTTCTGCGGCAGGCGGGGCTGGATTGTTCGTGCGCCTTCGCCTGCTCGCAGGTGATGAGCAATGAATTAAGAAGGTGCAGAGTTCAGAGTGCACGAGACGACGAATGTTAGCTGGATGGTACGTACTTTTCGCTGGAAAGGGGGAGGGGAGGCGGAGAAACTCTTGCCGAGGCGGACCTGTGGCAACCGCACCTACGTCTTTTCAAGAATCCGAACCCTGGACCACAGCAATGGATACCACGCCATGCAAATTGTTTGCTTCGCTTTTGCACGGGCGCTCCTCACCTGGTGATGCAGTAGCTGCTTGCTCAGTCATCTGCTTACAAGTGATTTCTTGGGAATGGACCAACACTAGGGAAGATTGAGCAAACTTATGAAACGCTTGACTTGGACACGTTAATTAGCAATCAGTAGGAAAGCGTTCGACGGCTTCTAGTGGGACATAATATGTAAGAAAGCTTCGCCGAAACAGCTTCCATAGAATTCAACAAATCTCCGAAAAGGAGAGACACTAACAAATACTACAGATTTGCTTCAGTACACACCCAACAACAGCAAACAACATACAGACAACACAAAAAACTCAACACGAATCAGTAGAAAACAGAACAAGCAACGCCTCCAAAAAACACCAATATATATGTATATATATATATATATGCTAGCCCCCCCCCCCCTGGACCAACCT